TTTTTTTTGTGGTCCTGTTGTATTATTCTAAATTTAACCTTATTACACCGACAAAAGTCAAAAAAATTCAAAACGCACGAAACAATCAATATACTATATAGTAAAAATACTCTTTTAATTTTCCCCTCTGACATTAGGATTTTTTAAAAGATTTTGAAATTTCAAAGCAATGATTAATTCAAAAAAATATTTTGAAAATTCCGTGCAATGTAGAATAATATGGGTACCAAATAAAAGATGAAGATCCTTAGAGTTAAAAAAAATAAAGGATAGTCACGGACAAAATATTAAAAGGACATTTTCAATACCTATTCGATCTTATGCACCAGCAAATTTAATCTTGTTATTTTCTGGGCTAATAACCATTTAAATTTAAAAATTTTTTAAGCTTGAGGCAGTTATTAATGAAAATTGTTTTTCACAAAAATTTTCATTAATGATGTATTCGCAATGTTTTTTACAAAAATTTTCATTAATAACGGCCTCAAGGTCAATAAAAAAAAATCAAATGTTATGTATGTATTTGATACCCATATTGTTATTCTGAGTTTTTAAAATAATTTTTTGAGTTAAAGCCCCTTAAAAAAATCGAGTCACCAAAGAGAAAATCAAAAACAGAGTTTTACTTTTTTGGTCCCTAGTTTCGCGAGTATAATGATTTTTTGAGCGTAAAAATTGTGTGTACCGCGGAATTAAAAAATAGTATGTTATATTTCTGCAGGAAGCTCAGGCCAAAGGTCTCGCTGATGTATTCGAAATACCGCATAGTGCTATACATATTGGTCCCGAAATTGGGGAAGGAGCATTTGGGCGCGTTTACAAAGCCGTTGCCGTGAACATACGACGAATGCGAGGCAGTCATGTTGTAGCGGTGAAGCAACTGAAAAGTAATGTCCTACTATATAAAATTTTTTATAATAACTGTCTTAACTTTCATGGACAATTTTTACAGAGAATCCAACCGCAGATGAAGTGGCAGAATTCTTGAGTGAAATCGAAATGTTGAAGGGCGTAGGCATACACAACAATATTGTATGCTTCTTTGGATGTTGTACCATAAGAGCGCCATATCTGATGATCATGGAGTTTGTGGGACGTGGTGATTTGGTAATTCTGACTAAATATTTATTAAGAATTTCAGTGCGCTTTGGTGCTTTGGTATTTACTGTTTGTTTATCATTGCAGTTAACTTACCTGCGCACTGTACGTCAAGCAGCGACAAAATTTAAGGCGAACGGCAATATCAGCAGCAACTATGCGAGTCGTGAACAGTCACAGTCCAAAACCAAAGTTAAATACATAGAACTAAAGTTATCCACACAATCTGTGGATAGCGGAAGTGAGACTTCACGTCAGCCAAAAGCATCCGTCGCTGAAAGTTAGTCGGGCTAAAGCAAATGCTGTTATGAAAATACATAATTGGTTAATACTTGCTTACGTTATTTTTTTTTATAGCCACTTACACAATTGTCAATGACGAGGACTACAATGATACGAGTACATTCGAGTATATTTTAGATCACAAAGAATTGCACAACTTTGCTCTGCAAATTGCCAATGGTATGCAATTTCTTGAAGAACAGCAAATCACGCATAGGTGAGGAAGTTAACTCAGCTGCA